ATAAAAATCTTCACAACTCCGAAAGGCACGGTCAGGCATAAGGGCTCCATGGTGGGGCGCTTACCCACCCTCCACCAGGCCCTGGGTTCCTCCCCGAGCCACGGCTACCAGGGCCTGTGCCGGACATGCCCCAGGTCTGCGCCTGGCCCGCTCACCAGGGCAGGGACGGCTCCTCGGCGGCCCCGCAGCAGGGTGGGGGCGGGGGCAGCCTGAGGGCCAGCGGCAGCGCAGCCGTGCCTACAGAGCCAGGGTGGAGGTCACATCCACACAGAACCTGGCGTGAACCTGGCGTGGCCCTTGCCACCGGGTGACCCAAGGTTGCCAGGCCCCCACTGGGTGGGGAGCTCAGCGGGCATGGGTCCCTGCCCTTCCTGCCTCCTAACCGTGCACCTTCTCTGTTCCCCTGCCACAGAGCCCCCGCCGCCGCCGCTGCCACCAGCCTCCCGTCCACAGAAGGCCAGCAGGAGTGCCAGCAAGCCGCAGACAGCCTTCGCCGTCCAGGGGTCGAGGGTGGCGACTCAGCCCCGGGCCACACCTGCCAGGCCTGCCAGGCCTCGACCTGTGAAGTGCAGACACTGCCAGCAGCCCCTGGCCGTCCGCAACTACAGCCCGAAGGCCTGACCTCCCCGGCGGCGCTCGGGCACTGTACATTCAAGGGGTACGGGTCGGCACGTGGCCTGCAAGCTGGCATGAAGGGCAAGGCCCCCTCCCTGACCGCCCAGAGAGCTAGTAAAGCCCAGCGCCTCCCCACAGCCGTTGGCCAGCAGAGTTGTCGGTCTTGTCCTGATTGGGAAACGGGGTACCGGGAAGCCAGGCTTCCCTGCCAGGTTCACACCTGCCCGTGTCAACTGCACACAACCACCTGTGCCCGGGCCATGCCGGGCAGCAGCCTTCCCCAGAGCCTGGGAGAGGACGCCAGGGGACCCCAGGGGCAGGAACTGTCCCTTGGGGCGCCTGCCCTTGGGGCGCCTGTCCCTTGGGGCGCCTGCCCCTTGGGGCGCCTGACCCTTGGGGCGCCTGTCCCTTGGGGTGCCTGTCCCTTGGGGCGCCTGACCCTTGGGGTGCCTACTGTGCACCCCCCAATCACAACAGCAGAACCTTCTGCCACCAGGCACCCACGGGGGGCACCTGAGAATGAGACGCGTGCCAGAGAGCACGCGGGCCCCAGCCAGTGGCTCACCACCTGCAGTTCTAGCTTTCTGGGAGTCTGGGACCTGAGGACCACAGTTCAGAGCCAGCCTGGCAGACAACTCTGAGGGTTATTTTGTTTTTTCTGGTTGTGGGGCTTGACTTGGTCACCGTCCCTGAGCCTGGGCACTGTCCCTGTGCTCTTCAGCTCAAGGCGAGCACTCTACTAATTGAGCCACAGTGCCTCTTCCCGTTTTCTAGTGGCTTATTGGAGATAAGAGTCTCACTGACTTTCCTACCCGGGCTAGCTTTGAACCACGATCTTCAGATCTCAGCCTCCTGAGTAGCTAGGATTACAGGCATGAGCCACCAGCGCCTGGCCTAATTCTTTTTTTTTGGGGAGCCACCGGCGCCTGGCCTAATTCTTTTTTTTTTGGGGGGGGTCCGGTCGTGGGGCTTGAACTCTGGGCCTGGGCGCTGTCCCTCAGCTCTTCAGCTCAAGGAGAGGGCTCTACCAGTTGAACCACAGCGCCACTTCTGGCTTTTTTCTTTTTGCTTATGTGGTGCTAAGGAATCGACCCCAGGGCCTCAGGCATGCAAGGCCAGCACTCTACCACTGAGCCACCTTCCCAGCCCCATCCCTGAGCTCTTTTTGCTGAAAGCTGGCGCTGTACACATTTGGAGCCGAGCTTTACTTCTAGCTTTTGGAGATAAAGAGTCTAACCGGTAGGCTTCTCTGCCAGGGCTGGCTTTAACAACCTCAATCCTCAGGTCTCAGCCTCCTGAATAGGCAGGATTATAGGCAAAAGCTGTGCCAGACACACAGCGTCTTGGGGCCTAGAGAGGGAGAGCTGCTCACAGCCCAGCTTCCTGTGGAACCTTCCAGGCCTCAGTGTGCACTTGGGTCCGGTGGGGACCGGCCGGAGTGGCAGGGCTCAGGTAAAGGCCGGGGTCTCGGGGCCCAGGCGGGAGGCCGGGGTCTGGGGGCCGAGGCCGGGGTCTTGGGGCCCAGGTGGAGGCCGGGATCTCGGGGCCCAGGCGGGAGGCCGCGGTCTCGGGGCCGAGGC